CGGATCCATGCGGTCACCACTTTGTACTTTGGGGGCATCGATACTGGTAAGTTTTTGTTCCACAATCACATTAGCGTTTTTAAACTTCAGATGCCACTATTTCGGTTATGAGAACGTTTGATCAGCTCCTGTTTTCTCACAAGAAATATGAAGCAAATACTGAATTGAATTACACCAGAATAGTTGGTCGGAGCTCTTCACATTTGTTTATCTACATAAAATAGATATTTTCTCGGCCACTGGAGGGGAGGCGGATTTTCCTATTATGGCCATTGGTCGATTTATTTGGCTGATACTGTTTATAATATCTATTGCAGGTAATATGTGAAGAAAACACAAAAATACTATATTAAGGATTATCATGAGCTAAAAAACCGTATCACGGGCTTTAAATACTTAAACTTTTATTTTAACTTATTAAATAAACATTATTAATTTCCACAGGTTATCGCTGTGACGGAGTAATTAATTATACGGAAGAATATGCTAAAAGACAGTAAGCTATTTCCATTTAACTTTGAAGAATATAATTTAGGTTTTAAAGTTACATCTTTATCGGTTTTGGAACGATCTTTTTCAATGCTATACTACCGTATTAGTTTTGTACATTAATCTCATAGGGCGTTAACGGTTCCTCCTATCGAGACGTGCTCGCAGAGCGTCCAATCTGTTTTTCAATTCGTAAAGCTTGTCAAGAATAACCATGCCAACGACTCTACCTGTTGCTTCCTTTATGAGGAGTACTCCCCGTATAAAAAAATTTTGATGCGCAATGATATGCTAAAATATTGCTTGAACAGGTTGTACAAGAAAATTTTCCAGTATAAATACCGCCGTATTGATATGGACTCATCGTAAATGAACATCAACAGTCATTTATGTTAATGATAAATAAATGATTGTCTATTAAGTACACAGTCATCATACTCGCACTAGTCTTCCAGTATAATTCTGAATAGTGCACCCCAGAATAAAGTAGGTTTTCGGCGCAACGCTAGTCAGTCGCACACGCGCATATGTAGGTAGCTGTCATTTAACCAGCATAGAATGCCGGATATTCAAGGCAAAATTAAATCGTTGCGGAAAATGAAAAATAATAAATGACGATTTTAATGCAACGTGTATATTTTGTGTAGTATAAAAATAAGCCAAACTCCACAACTACCTTAAATATGTTTTTCATTTACTTTAGTTATGTGTGATGGCGGTACAACTACGCGTATTATAAATTCGTAATTTCTAGTTAAGTATCCTGTAGTAGTGAGTAAGGTACTGTGACAAGACAAATAAGGGTTTGGCTAATTCAAATTAGCCTGTACATTAAATATTAACGGCGAGAAATTTTTCCACAAAATACATTTGTGAGATAATTTTTTGTGCAATTAGGCAAAAATTTAAAATAAACTCCATCCAGCTTTCCTCCAAATAGTATGTTGAGTTAGAAATTCAAGATATTAGCACTCAATTTACAATCCTATACCGGAAAACCTACATTATATCAGTTAAAAAGTAATGGAGACTTTCTTGGAATACTAAAGAAAGCTATAAAATATAAACATACGTCCATATACACATGGCGAGTCTGCAATATTGAACTTTTGAAGTGCTGCAAAGTGTGCTTTTTATTGTACGCTCTCAGAGTATAATCGGTCTGATAAAAAACCGCAGTCACAAATGTATCTTCACTTTTTTATCTATCAGAAATACCGGCTTGAAAACAAAGAATACTCCAAACTTTGCGCAAAGCAATGTAATTGGTAAGCTGATTTATCTTACCCTGTGTGTTCAGTTACTATAAGGCCAAAAGCAGTACTGTTTTCCGTACATGCTAAAATGTGAGGGCAGTGGCATTCGCAGAAGATATGTATGCATTTTTTCGTTTTTGTGGTAGCTTTATTGCTGGTTAAACACCATAATCACTGACCGAGACAGACTTCACTATTATAGATTGCCTTGATATGGTTAAAAGACACAGTTCGTACAGTTACTTCGCACATTGCATTATAATTACCTATCAGAAAATAAGCGAAATCTGAAGCACAAATTACAACTAGAGATTCTTCTACAATCATGTTCCATCAATATAGGGTAGCGAAAGGATCCGTGGAAACCCCTTCGTTTCAGCCGCCGGACATGTGGAAGTTTTCTGGTTAAACCAAACCCGCCAAAGCAAGGGCGCTCCCATGAACGGTACAGATCACTGTTTAAATAAAGTGTCGTATTTATTCTTGAACCCGGCAACTGTGTCGGCAGCAACAACATC